CAAATCCTTTCATTCCTACAGAAGAAGAAGGATTTTAAAGAATTTGCTATATTTCCCCTATTGGCTCTTCCCCTCAGGCCCTTGGTGAGCCAGACCCATAGTTTATACAAACTTTGTTCCCCTTCCCCCAAGGATGCTTCTGACCAAATATGGACCAAATCCTTTCATTCCTACAGAAGAAGAAGTATTTTAAAGAATAATTTGCTATATTTCCCCTATTGGGCCCCGCCCCTCAGGCACCTGGGGGGCCAGATCCACGGTTTATACAACATTGGTTCCCTTTCACCCAAGGATGCTTGAGACCAAATTTTGTTAAAATCCGCTCAGTGGTTCATGACTAGTAGTGTAAAGTTGACGTACGACGGACGACGGACGCTGCGGTATGGCATAAGCTCACCTTGGTACTTCGGACCAGGTGAGCTAATAATAGTCAGTTACTGAAAAAACAGTTTGACCAAAGCAACTGCAAATTATAATTTTGATACGTGTAATGAACGAATGATATTAAGTGTAAGTAATATATTGCATTTCAATCTGTAAATAATAGAAATACATATGAAAATCAATCGCTGATAGAGAGTGCTTTTTATAACCATTTTATTCACATGATCATTGAACAAGTTAAAGGGACGCATCTAAAATTAACATGATCTCAAATTTCAATGTTAGAGATTTGAACTTCTTAAAGGGAAGACCACAGAACTTTCGCTTTCGTTATCTCTTCAGCTCCTTTTTAACATTTTTTTTAAACAAAATGGTATACGATATAAAAGTGTATAAACAAAATCCTATGATTATAAAATGAATTCAATTTCTTAAAAGAAACATTTAGTATAAGAAATAGGGAACATATTCCTCTTGTCTGTTAACTGGGTCAATATGTTAACACCCAGATTTGTCAGTGATGCACAAATATTTTGATAGTACTGGTAGCTTTTTTAACACTTATATGATGAACATATGTTTAAAACTACAAGTTTGTACTTCATGTTTTAACAAGCAAATTTGTGGAATTTTAGAAGCCCCTCAATTCCTCTTATATATGTTGTTCAATATGGTGGTTTGGCGTAGACATACTGTTCCACAGGATGGAGAATCTAAAGCAGACAAGCCAGGAAACTCTGCCCCTTTCTATTGTAGCTGAATGTATATATAGATACATATACACATGAAGTGTGGAGTCTTGCAAACTCAGCCATAGGTATAACATGGCGCTAACCAAACTCCATATACACATGAAGTGTGGAGTCTGGCAAACTCAGCCATAGGTATAACATGACACTCACCAAACTCCATATACACATGAAGTGTGGAGTCTGGCAAACTCAGCCATAGGTATAACATGATGCTAACCAAACTCCATATACACATGAAGTGTGGAGTCTGGCAAACTCAACCATAGGTATAACATGACACTAACCAAACTCCATATACACATGAAGTGTGGAGTCTGGCAAACATGGCCAAAGGTATAACATGACGCTAACCAAAATCCATATGCACATCAAATCATGTTGAAACTGAATCGTTTCAGGTGAGTCATTGCAGGGAAACCAATAGACCAACCAAAAGTGGTAGCCTTATTTATCATGTGTAAATATGTACACATGGAATAAACGGTCAATACCAGCCTGACACTCGACAATATGTTTTACAGACACACCAAATTTGGTTGAAACTATACCATTTTTTGGGAAGATATTGCACGTAAAATAATCGACCAAATCAAAAGTAGGTATCTGCATTAAAAACTGCAAACGTATATAATTTAGCAGCATTTTAGTTTTAGTGCACTTCGCTCTCTAAATATTGCACAAATTTTTGACTGCACTAATTAAAGTTTCTGTGTTTAATTTCTGATAGCATTTTTATTGTGAGTGTGCAAATACTTCAATGCACTAATCTTTTAAAATGCGATAATTTTAGTCCGCAAAGAAAAAACAATTTCGTTTGTGTAAAAACCAAGCCTGATACTTGCAAATATAAATGTGCACACCAAACGAACCCTTTTTTCTTCCAAAGTTCGGGATAAAAAATATCAGCTAAGAGAAGACTTCCTAAAACCTCTAAGCTTGTTGTCCAGTATTGAATACGTACATTATTATTGGGTTGGTTTATTGAATAGAATGCTGTTTCAACTAAAAGTTAATTAAAAAAATCAATAATGTAGATAACTTAAATATTTTGTCCACACAAAATCCTGTGCAGTTTCTATACTTTTTTGCAAGGTTTTAAACTTGAGTCTCACTAAGCATTTATGTTGTATGCCGGGTATTAATGAATGCAAGGTTTTAAAATTTGCCTTTCAATCAGCATGCATGTTGTATTTTACACACTGGGTATGTTGTTACCTGTGTAAATAACTGTTTGCTAGGTAATTCACAATTGATGATGGACACCATTTATGAGAGGTAAAATCACAGAAAATATAAGTATCCTATAAATATATAGTTCGATGATACAAAAAATTACAATTACAAACTCCAACTAAAGCTGATCATCCTCATCATCTGAACTAAGTAACAGGTATAAGGCTCGTTATAAAACCGACTTAAAATCTCACCAGTACGAATGTCTTTACTTTTAAATTATTAGGTATATTCATCAGAAATTATCACATGAGGTTTCTAATATTGATACTCCTCAATACTTTTGAAGATAATAAAACAGTTGTGGATATTGCATTATATGAACAGTAATAACCATAACCTGAACCTTGTACTAAAATCCCCCAATTGACAGTCTCCCTTTTTTCTTGTGTGATTTCCAGTCTGTGTTTGGGGAAGCAGTCAACCTAAGTTGCTTTGGTTTTGAGGTGAACGACAAATGTGGGTCACTAGGTGTAGGAGTAGCCGGACTCGGTAACACAAAGGACCCTGAAAACATGGTAAAAGATTGCGCAATATCTTGTGAGAAGAACTGGCTATCCCAATTATCTTCATTTCCAATGGTGTCACCATTGGTTGTTTGTGTCACTCGGTAACTTCTGTCCAGAGAGAAAGCCTCGCGATCAGCTGTTGGTTGTTTTGCAGCATCCTCACTTTGATCATCAGAAAACAAACTCTCTGATGTTAAACGTTTTCTCTTCCTAGATGAATGTAAATTTGTAAAACTTCTGTTTTCTTGGTATGGTGTTTCCTGAATGTTTGCTAGTCCCCAACTCTGTGTGATGGCACTCGAGTCAGCACCAGCTTTTTGCTGATCGTCATCTTCCCTCATTGTACTTATATCAATGCCAAACAGTCTATGAAAACTAGCATCACTATCTTCTCCATCACTTCCTGTTCCCCTATTGTCTATCCACGAAGGTGACACTAAGTTGTCATCCCTTGAACCCCCTGGTTGTGGTGACCCATTCCGACTCACAGTACCCCCTGGTGGTGGTGACCGTTGCCGACTCACAGTACCCCCTGGTGGTGGTGACCTTTGCCGACTCTCAGAGCTCTCCCGTGATTGCTGTCGACTCCCACCATCCACTGCCTGTTGAAGACTTCTGATCAACTGTTGGTCCCCATCCATAAGATAACTGGATTTTTCCTTTCTCTTTTTCTGTCTTGCTTCCTTTTTCTTCCTTGTTTCTTCATCCTGGAGAGGGTTGAAAGAATTAAAACCAATTTTGAAGTAATACTTAGTTTTCTACAAATATACAAAATATGTTTTTATATCGTTTCTTATAACGTTTCTTTAGGCAGTGGTTCAATTACAGAGTAGAACCTCCCACTTTTAGACACCTGCAGGGCTAACAAGAGTGATTAAAAATTGATAAAACTTGTTTGATCGTGAAAAGAAGGCACCTAGTAAGGTAGTCGAGTTGTCAATGGGAATATGATTTGACATATGACTGATTATTGATATCTGGCTGAGTGTGTAGGAAGCTTAAGTTGTTTAGAACACATGATTTTCACTACTAGGTACATGTCAAAACCAAAACATGTATTAGTTGGTGATTAGTCTGGTTTTAAAAAAAATCACAGGAATATATCTACTATTTGGTACCATTCTATTACACAGGTGAGAAAGCTGTGTGAACACCTACTCTCTGTTGCAGTAGTTGGGTCAGGTCTGGACTCTCCTCCTCCCACAGGGACACCAGGATCTTACTGAGGGCATTTGTCCGAGGAAAACTCTCCTTTTCCTCTGTCCTTTGAGTCTCCCTGACCTGGTTTCCTTTAGACTTTAATTGTTCTCCCCAGAGTTTGATGTCACCTGGCCAGTATCCAACCAATCCCTGTAAAACAGTAATAATTCTTATGTACATACATATAGGTCGTATACGACTTGCCATGTGCCATTGCCAGTATGGTAAAGGGAGATAATCCGAAATGTTCTGTAACTTCAAATGCTTCCTTTCAGCTAATATATAAATCTTTGACTGATCAGAGGTGCTACCTGGCACTAACAGGAAGGATTAAATGGCTTGAGAAAAATGTAAATGTAGATATTTCTGGTAGAGATTGAAATACAACTGGGTTGCAAGAAAACACTATTCTACAGATAAAAGTAAATGTCACACCATAACACCAATCATACAGAGGAAAACAAGGGGCCATGGATTTATACTTACCTTCCCTGCCTGTACCAGTTGTTGACCAGTGGTCAGGCTCTGGTGACAGGCTGGACATATGTCAGTGTCATTGTCAATACTTTCAATCTCTGGGTGACAAAGTGGACAACTGATGTGGGGCTGCTTCACCAGAGTGATCTCTATAGGTTAACAAAAAACAGTGATCTCTTTAGGGTAACAAAGTACAGTGATCTGTTTAGGGTAACAAAAAACAGTGATCTCTATAGGGTAACAAAAAACAGTGATCTCTTTAGGGTAACAAAGTACAGTGATATCTTTAGGGTAACAAGGTACAGTGATCTCTATAGGGTAACAAAGTACAGTGATCTCTTTAGGGGAACAAAGTACAGCGATCTCTATAGGGAAACAAAGTACAGTGATCTCTATAGGGTAACAAAGTATAGTGATCTCCATAGGGTAACAAAGTACAGTGATCTATATAGGGAAACAATGTACAGTGATCTCTATATGGTGACAAAGTACAGTGATCTCTATAGGGTAACAAAGTACAGTGATCTCTATAGGGAAACAAAGTACAGTGATCTCTATAGGGTAACAAAGTACAGTGATCTTTATAGGGTAACAAAGTATAGTGATCTCTTTAGGGTAACAAAGTATAGTGATCTCTATAGGGTAACAAAGTACAGTGATCTCTATAGGGTAACAAAGTACAGTGATCTCTATAGGGAAACAATGTACAGTGATCTCTATATGGTGACAAAGTACAGTGATCTCTATAGGGTAACAAAGTACAGTGATCTCTATAGGGTAACAAAGTACAGTAATCTCTTTAGGGTAACAAAGTACAGTAATCTCTATAGGGTAACAAAGTACAGTAATCTCTTTAGGGTAACAAAGTACAGTGATCTCTATAGGGCAACAAAGTACAGTGATCCCTATAGGGTAACTAAGTTCAGTGATCTCTATAGGGTAACAAAGTACAGTGATCTCTATAGGGTAACAAAGTACAGTGATCTATATAGGGTAACAAAGTACAGTGATCTCTTTAGAGTAACAAAAATATATCTACTATATTTAAATATATTTAGTGTTATGTCTTTATCAGGACTTTATTTACATGTCATATCTTCAACAAGACTAGTTCCATGTCATGCAGTGCAATACCTTTAACAAGACTATACATTTACGTACCTTAATACATGACCAGAGTGATAGTTGTACATGACCAGAGTGATAGTTGTACATGACCAGTGTGATAGTTGTACATGACCAGAGTGATAGTTATTCATGACCAGAGTGATAGTTGTACATGCCCAGTGTGATAGTTGTACATGACCATAGTGATAGTTGTACATGACCAGTGTGATAGTTGTACATGACCATAGTGATAGTTATTCATGACCAGAGTGATGGTTGTACATGACCAGTGTGATAGTTGTACAGGGCCAGAGTGATAGTTATTCATGACCAGAGGGATAGTTGTACATGACCAGAGGGATAGTTATACATGACCAGAGTGATAGTTATTCATGACCAGAGTGATAGTTGTACATGACCAGAGTGATAGTTATTTATGACCAGAGTGATAGTTGTACATGACCAGAGTGATAGTTATACATGACCAGAGTGATAGTTCTAACGTACATGTAGCTTGTTATTATGTAGTAAGTACAGGGTTTGTTGGTTTGTTTAAGTGGTTTTACATCTGTTTCACTACCAATTAGGTCAGTTTTCCAGAAAGTAGTGTTATAACAATAGAATTTCTAGAATGAATTATGGCATCCATCCTAAGTCATACCAGTCTTTCCTCTTCACATTTAAAACATTTTAAACTTACCTTTATCAAAATTATTTTCAGGTTGTCTCAATATTTCTTTGCAATTTTTGTCTTTGTTCTTTTCCCGATGTTTAATATATCGTGAGATCCATCTACGCCCCTTTCCAATGGTGATGTCGTCCCAGGATTGGTTATCTGTCTCCATAGAGCAGGTCTTATCGCCCCCCGTATTGGTAAAATTGTATCCCTGATAAAACACCTCTCCATAACTGTCCACCTACAAGGATACATGCATGTACCATGTAATTTACTTTTTATTTTTCTTCAAATTTCAAAACCCAGTATTTAATCATGTTAACATATATTCATTTTAATAATATGCTTGTATTGAGGCATTAATTTTATTCACAACAGAAGTACTCTCAACCCCATATGATTGTTTTACAACAATAATAATTGTAATCCAATAATTTCCTTTAGTTTCACCTCAAGAAGCATGTATATTGATACCTTGCTACACTCTGCCTCACAAACCTGAACAGCAAAGAAGCCATCGTCCAGAGGTACAGCGGCGACACCTATCAGTGATGTGTTGAACCTCTCTGATACCATAACTCCTGCTGTCCCTCCACACACAGATCCATGGTGGAATATGTCACTGTCAAAAACATCACATCTAGATACACTGGACAATACACTGGACAATACACAGGACAAAGTCCAATATCAACACCTCATTATCTTATAATGAATAAGAAATACTTTGTTCGTTTAGCAGATAGACAGACCCAAACGTAATTGCCCCTTTTTTGAAAATTCTTTTTCAGGAATTATAGTTGTAAATCTCAAACATGAATCCTATACCATGATAGGTAAGGTACCTGTAACAATTGTCCATGTATTTGGAGTCTTAATACAGTTAATATAAATTAATGTCAATAAGGACTGTATGAAATTAATTCACATTATAATTTCATATGATGCACATGCAAGACAATAACATTTTAAAACGAGGTTGAAACAAAATGGCATTTACACATGCACAGGGTCTTTTGATAAGTGAGATATTTACAAAGTTATTTTTAAATCCATCTTATAGTTTAGGAGTAGTAATTAACGAATATTGTGGATAAAATTGTGTCTACCAACTTTGTTTTAGAGAGTAAACCGAGTAATGAATTGCAACAATGTTGTATAATGATAACTTGTAACAATGATAAATCATGACAATGTTGTAAAATAATGAACCGTGACAACATTATAAAAAGATAAATTGTGAAAATGTTGTACAAAAAATTAGACCATACCGTGTACTATATCAAATGTATTATGTATGTGTTGCTACAACTACAGATAAGGCAGCACAGAAAGCACCAACAAGACTCACTCAATCCTGGACACTCGCCACGGTGCCCCCAAAGCTTGAGCTGCCATCCCTGAGCTACAGTTGTACTTGTAACAGCAAACTTCTGGAGGACTCTGACTAGCCATCAAAAGGAGGCTATGACCTTTTGATGGAAAATTGACCCCACCCAAGTACTGGGGAGGATTGACTAGCATGTGTTTCCAACTCAGCACCTATAATTGGAAGCAATTAAATATAAGTTACCATTTTAAGGATTATGTAATGTTGTTTTTGATCTGTTATTTTTTGTTCTTTAAAATAAACATCCACTATATCAACATTTCCTGATATTATTGAAATGAAAAATTCAGAGCTGTTGAAATATTTGCTAATTTCCTTACTCAGCACAGATAAATGGTTGCATGAACATACTGTACTTACACTTTATGAGATATATATTGTAGCAACACTAATGCCATAACAAATATCCACAATACAAACAGCTTAAGGAGTCGAAAGGCAAACATTTACAGTTACTTTACATACATTGAAAACTGATTAACCCCGACATGTCATACTGTACACAGCCCACTTAAATATGTCAGGTCCAAGCTATTCAAGTGTTTTAAGATTTGTATGGCTATAATTTGTCTAAATGTTGAGACTAAATATCTGTTGAAGTAAGATGAGGGATTCCACCTATTCACATGGTTGAGTACAAAAATTGAGGATACTCATTGTAAGTGTCTTACCGGAGTTCCAGGAAACCGCTGGTCTAGTAGGAAGAAGTTGTAGTCACATGCCACAAAGTGATAAAACTCTGACACTGTGGATTGGGTAGATACATGTATTCTCTCCCCTGGCAATACCAGGGGACTGGGCAGGGCAAACAGGTCAACACCCTGCTTCGTGGGACTTCTCTACAACATAAACAATCCAACCCATTTTAACTTTAGTGGCAACTACTTTGGTGCCTCAATATTCTAACTAACTTTATTCCATGCAGAAATGGCTGGATTACTGGGACAACTTGGCATAGAAAATGGTCAATCTGTCCCTTAGAAGAAAGGCTGGGTGGTGTGACAGCCAAGTTAATAGTTGTAAGGTTATTGGGGCTCAACATTATTTGTTTGTATTTTCATTTATGTGATACAGAATGATGTACAGAAAAACTTGTGTCAGATGCAGTTTGTTTGTGTTGAAATAGAGATTGAAGTTTAGAGTATATAAAATACCATGGTATGTTTGTGATAAAACTTCACATATGAGTATTTTGTTCCTTTATATCAACTTATCCAGTCAATGAATTGAAATTTGGAGTTAAGAATATTTCTGTATCATTTTCCACTATGGTAAATTGATGTTAAAGTTTAAGGACTTCCCACTCTTCGTAATACACATGTTTTTCTTGTAGTACTTTTGTATCGTCATTTCCTGTTGCGTATCAGGCATTCTATTACCGTAGTGTAAATTATAGTAACAACTGGTAAACAATAGTACATGTGCGTGCCGATGAATTGTCAACACCCGATTGCGAGACTTAACTTGGAAATGTGTAATCACACGTACTTAAGAAATAAAGCTTATGATACAAAGACATTATTTAACTCATTGGAAGACACTGACATACGATCAGACGACTTCAAGAAGATTGTTTATGAAGCACATGAAATGTAGACTGATGTGTTTTGATTACCGACCTCACCTGTACGTTTCACGTGCTGACAGTAGTTCACAAGCTCTTGGTCGCTACAACATTTGTTGTCGAGCGAGTTACGCTCTGTCAGATAAATCGTTTCACAAATGCAATAAAAATATCTCTGTGAAAATAGTGATTTGTAAAATATCAAGATCCCTATAAATTGCAGGTGCATGTGATAACGGCATACCATGCGATAGCCTATGGTTACATATGTAACTGACATGTAAATACATCATGCGTAGGCGCCTAGGCTATAGAATGATGTCCAAAGTGTACATGATTGAGAGTAATTTTGTTCCATAAAAGAACAGTTAATTGACAATTAAATATAGTAATTCAATTTATTTCCGTCGTTTTAGGTAGAGTAAAGAAAATTAGTGTCATTGTAAAAATTCTATCCCTCTCCAAAAGGTTCCGATTTTTTTCAAGGTAGACAACTCTCATCAGGATCAAAATTAATGTAAAATAAATGAATTAGACTTTGTGTGTATTTGGCTCAATTTTTCACTCATTTTGTATGAAACTATGGGTCCTGTTTGCTTTGAGCTTGTATTACAGGTGAAGTACAAAGTAGTATCTACTCTGCTCCACAAGCCTCTACACTCATACACGTATCTCCCAGAGGAGCAGGTGAAGTATGAAGTAGTATCTACTGGGCCCCACAAGCCTCTACACTCATACACATATCCCCCAGAGGAGCAGGAGAAGTATGAAGTAGTATCTACTCTGCTCCACAAGCCTCTACACTCATACACATATCTCCCAGAGGAGCAGGTGAAGGATGAAGTAGTATCTACTCTGCTCCACAAGCCTCTACACTCATACACGTATCTCCCGGAGGAGCAGGTGAAGTATGAAGTAGTATCTACTAGGCTCCACAAGCCTCTACACTCATACACATATCTCCCAGAGGAGCAGGTGGAGTATGAAGTAGTATCTACTCGGCTCCACAAGCATCTACATTCATACACATATCTCCCAGAGGAGCAGGTGAAGGATGAAGTAGTATCTACTCTGCTCCACAAGCCTCTACACTCATACACATATCCCCCAGAGAAGCAGGTGAAGGATGAAGTAGTATCTACTCTGCTCCACAAGCCTCTACACTCATACACATATCTCCCAGAGAAGCAGGTGAAGTATGAAGTAGTATCTACTCGGCTCCACAAGCCTCTACACTCATACACATATCCCCCAGAGAAGCAGGTGAAGGATGAAGTAGTATCTACTCTGCTCCACAAGCCTCTACACTCATACACGTATCTCCCGGAGGAGCAGGTGAAGTATGAAGTAGTATCTACTCGGCTCCCCAAGCCTCTACACTCATACACATATCTCCCAGAGAAGCAGGTGAAGTATGAAGTAGTATCTACTCGGCTCCCCAAGCCTCTACACTCATACACATATCCCCCAGAGAAGCAGGTGAAGGATGAAGTAGTATCTACTCTGCTCCACAAGCCTCTACACTCATACACATATCCCCCAGAGGAGCAGGTGAAGTACGAAGTAGTATCTACTCGGCTCCTGATGGGGGTTGGAGTAGGGTGTAGGGTTGGACATCTAATCGCTGGTGTTAGTGTTTGAGAATTGGTAGCAATGGTAGATACCAAGGTAGCTTGACCAGTATCCATATATCATACTGGTCATTGTTGTAAAAAGATGAGGTGATACTTACCCTTATATCAAACAGTTGAACGACAGTTGGGTCAGATGCTATAACTTCACGAGGGTGCGCTCCAAACTCAGCCCGTCTCCATGGTAACGTACACTTAAACCTTGTCGACCTGTCGTTTATCACCTGTTTCTGCCTATATCATTAAAATGCAGTGAGTTTAATACAGTAATTAAGCAACAGATATTGACTAACACGATACAGCTTTTGGACATGGTCTCTCACAATTCTGTGACTAATGAATGACCTCTGAGGAACTTGGAATGACAAAAATTATAATATAATGTACTATGACAGATGAAAAATGGTAGTGAGACAGATCGGAAGAGTAAGAAGAAGGCAATTAAAAAAGAGATTGTAATTGAAAACAAAGGAGATGACCATGACACACATGGTGGTAGGAACTCAAAGGGAATGGAGTGTGTGGGAATGTCTGTGTGAAGGGTCGGAGGACAATGGTGTGTGGATGTAAGGTCCATTTAGTATAATGCATTGATAAGTTAATCGTGGTCCTTAGACAGGGAAATGGTCATCAAAAGACTTCTAAAAGAGAAATGTAGCCCCACCTCCTAGGAATGGTATTAGCCAATAGAATTAGAAGATTTAGTTAAGTAAAAGTAGTGTTAGATTGTCTTTATAATAGGTAGAGAACTTTAGGTTGAGAGAGTTGAAGGGAAAATTTGAAGGAGAGAGTCCAAGGACAGAGTCAGAGATAGACAGAGAGAATTAGAGAGAGATCTTGGGAAGTGAGACTGAAGAGAACTAAATGAGAAAGAAGGGAGTTGGAAACAGAAGGAAATGTAGAAGTTTCCATGTATAAGATATGAAGTTGGACTAAAATAAAGGAAGTGGAATTGACATAATGTGTCATCATTTGTAACTTAAATTTTTAAGTATAGTAATACTGTCCTTTGCTGCCATTTTCCTTTTTTTCTCTTCTTTTCTTACCAGGGTGTAGATGGTACAACCCTGGTATCCATGATTCTCCACCACATATCACCGGTCCGACTTGTTATCACCCGCGACCCTAGGTTACTTGGGAATATAAGTTACAAAATTGCCTTCTTCTTACTCTTCTGATCTTACTCACTACCATTTTTCATCTGTCATGTAACCATAATTACCAGGTGCTGATAGTTTACATTATTACAAGCCTCATGACAATTGAGGATATCTTATTACTTTAATAGAATTTTAGATATTGATAGATTTTGTGCGATGAGTAAATATATAAAACAATGTACCTGTTGCCTGGTGACCAGAGGTACACTGCTCCGGTCGTCATGGATACCAAACAGTCACCAGGAATGTAGCCACTGTAAGCAAACACACATTTCTACATGTTTTCATTTTCACCTGTGTTGCAATATACGAAGTGTAGTTGTTATTATAAAGGTCAAAAATTTGAAATTTCAATATTATTTTCTGTTATGTCTGCGCTACACCAGTGATGGACCCCTAAGGAATCTCCAAACCAAATAACAGCCTCCTTATACAAATACTTAAGTTACATAAATACCAACACATTCACCGAAACTTATTTCGGCAAAAATAGTCAGTTTAAAGCAGGTACAAATTGAGACTAAATGTATTTGTCTATTTGACTGCATTATACCAATGTTTGACTGCTAGTAAACATGATATCAAGTATCAGCCTAGTTCAAAATACTAATGTTACATTAATGATTTCAACACATTTACCAATTAACTAATACTGACAGGAATACAAATGTGACTTCACATTACGAATTTTATCATTTCTTTACTTTCTACCTACCTCAAACAAACAGATGTTGGACGTCCTTGCTCTGTGGAGAAGTCTTCCTTTCCTACTAATGTAACATCACTGGCACCACGCCCAACACTATACAGCATGCATCCGGTGAGGCCTCGCACAGCTATGTGTTCTGTGGACGAGAAATCAACTTTAACAATGACTTAAGATTTATGCGAACCATTCCTAAAATGTAGAGAGATTCTAAATGTGAAATGCTTTTTGTTTAAGTACCTGACCCAGAAGTATTTCTCTCCGTCTAAATGACAAATAAAAATTGTACCGTTTGTAAAGTAACACTGAAATCAGCAGGTTAAAGTTTAAAATAAAATAAAATTGTAAAACTCCAATGCTAGTCTTTAAGTGTACAAATATGATGCAGTAATGTACAGTCAAGCACTAAATATTTAATGAAGTTTCTTAATTTGTTTGAATCGAGAACTATATATATATATATATATATATATATATATATTTGATTNCCAGGTAAAATATATTGATTCTCACCATACACACAAGGTTATAGGGTACTGACCTTTACCCCAGACACACCTGGTGGTCACCTCCCTCACAGGTGTGGTGCTGAACCCACACAACACACAAGGTTATAAGGTACTGACCTCTACCTGAGATACACCTGGTGGTCACCTCCCTCACAGGTGTGGTGCTGAACCTACACAACACACAAGGTTATAGGGTACTGACCTTTCCCCAAGACACACCTGGTGGTCACCTCCCTCACAGGTATTGTGCTGAACCCACACAACACACAAGGTTATAAGGTACTGACCTTTCCCCAAGACACACCTGGTGGTCACCTCCCTCACAGGTGCGGCTTCAATCACCTGATGATTTATGGGTTGCAGAGTCAAGTCTTCGTGGTTGATTTTGATGTCTGTGATTCCTCAGAACAGTTAAGTAAACTTGTTAGAATAGCTAATTGTGTGCAAAAGATACAATCCAGTACTCTGACATTTATCCCAGTGGTACAGTATTTTCTACAGTAATTGTATGTATATAAGGATACAGACCATAATAACAGTAGTTTGTCTTTATATGTTGCGGTATTTGTTTGTATGAAAGGATACTGAGCTGTGATAGAGTTTCCCCTATGGCGGACACAAGACGGCAATCACTGCTGCTTCCAGATGACCTTGACCCCGGGAGACAGGACACACAGCCACCAGCATACTCAGAGTTGGTTTTCTGAGCACAAATGATATGGTAATTATGCTCTCAATATCATACAATTTCAGCTTTTTCACAATTATGCCACATGTTTTGATTCATGAATATATCTGGTAATGATTCATTTTGCAAATTGAGAGTTAAGCAAATGTTTTACAGTTCTTTCATCTCTATCTAATTACGTCATACATTATGCTTTTAGGACACCAGATATTGACGATCTTCAAGTCCATGTAAAATGTATTTCAACAAATATAGGCATTTTGATATACTGGTGAAACATCTCAGGGTTCACAAAACTATTGTGTAACATAAAACACACTTACAGGAATGTCTGATAGGTCACGAAGCTGCTGGTACTGTTCGGTCAGTTTCTGTATTATGTCAATATGTAGTTCTTCTCCTCCATTGCTAGTGGATGATGAATGGCACAATCTTAATTGCCTCTTCACCCTTGCTGATAATGTATGATTCTGAAGCAAAACACCATTCAAAACTTTCCATATTTGTTTCAATTTCAAGACAATCTCTCCTTTTAGGATTGCCAAACAAAGGAACATCCTATAACTACCTTATGCAGTATTAAAAACCACAAATGAAGAATGTCAACAATCTCATTAGACATTTGTGAAAGATAGAGTGCATCATAACCAGTACCTAGCAATCTTGTACAAGAGGCCAAGGGGGCCTGTGTTTACTTGATGTTGGAACAATCATGGAAAAATATCTCAGTAAAAGTACTACAGGCCCCAGAGCTACATTTATTTGTCTTTTTTTTATGCCCAGCACTTGAATATAGAGTGAGAATCTATATTCAACTATGTAGATGTTATGATTCAGGGACTTAGTAATGATGGGCAGAACCAGACCTGAGACTGACCAGAAACTGTATACCGGTTCGGGTATATGGTTCCCATGCTGTGACCTTAAGACCCTGGGGGATCAGTCCCTTGCTTTGCATTACCTATATTACCAATATTACACAGTTCTGAGACAGTTATACTTACTTTGAAATTGTAAACCTTTACAAGCTTTCTGAAGTTTTGAGCTTCCTTCTGGAGTTTGAATACTTTGCTCATAACATCATCTCTGTTTGTGTTCACATCTGAATGTAGTAAAAGAAAGCCGTAAAGGAAATCACTACAACAAAATTCATATGTTTAATGTTTAACCTGGTGTTCGTGGATCCCCTTTAACCCCTTAAGGACCCCAATTTAACATTGGAATTACGATATGAGATGTGGATCTAATGAACAATTTTTATGAAAACAACAGCCTTAATGCTTTATTACAGACTATAAGTAAACGTTGATTTGTATGGTACCATTTAATATATCCAAAATGCATTCATAATCCAGTTCTTTACTGCTAATTATATATATAAATCTTCAATTTCAAAAGTAGAAGTTCAACAAAACAAAGTTCAATTGCCTTTGGATTTTTTACTTGAGATTTTGGGAAACTGTGTTTCTTTTTTTGAGGGATATTTTGTTTAGATCCAAGAACAAGCACAGCATAGAAAATCCCTGCAATATTATTTTGACATGAAGATATTTTTGTGCATGTTTTATGCTTTGTGATAAAACAACAGTTAGAATATATTGTAAAGAAATAATAATTAAATGATCTGTTTGCAATGATAACCGTATGACAGCATATACATGTATATCCACATTACCATTTGGTCTTTGTGAAAGTGGCAGTGTTGGCCGTTTAGCACAGAGAGAATCCCTCTTTCCATGGAAACCCTCTGGGACCTTCTGACAAAAAGCTTCAATCTTCTGTCCATAAATGCTGCCAACATCTGCATAACCATGAGATCCATACTCGTAGAAAACCTCTCGTCTTGTTGTCTGTACAGTCTGATGGTTTGGGAAATTTGCATCTGGAAAGTCCATGTCACAACCTATCCATGTGCAGGACTGCCATAAAAAACCAGGACAGAAAAAACTAAATAAAGGATAACTGAAATTTAATAACTAATTGTATACACAAACAGAGACCTGTAGCTATACATACAGCATACTTCAATATTTAGGCAAATTTTTAGCTATGCCATCTGCAGCTACATTTATGCATTTTCAGTGTTCAATATTTGTATTTGGAAATAACTTGATAACATTTCTTTGACAAAGAACTTGAGAAAATGTGAGCGAGCTAGCTCACAAAGATATACACCCTACTTGCGTTTAAAAGGTTTCTGGAGCATATATGAACATTTCAAGGGCCATTTTTTTAAGAAAACGGTAAAATCGTAAATTTCTGTCTTCATGCATATATACCTCCGCTATAAAGCCATTTTGTGGTGTATAACATGATATGCTGACATATAATATCATACTTACACCATCATGGAGAAGATTGATATAGGCCTAGCCTGTTATCCTATCCATTTATATATGTTTATTTATAAATATAATAAAATTTGTTAAAACAATGCTGACATACCCATACATTGGAAGCTTACTGAAAATACAGTTCTTTGCAAGTAACGTTACACAGTTACACATGTGAGAAAGTTGGGACGATTTTGTGCACTAACACCATAACAGTACACTGACATCAAGTAGCTGCTAGCAAAATGGACAGGAAAATGCATACAAAAAAAATAATATATAGATAGATGTTAACAATTTGCAAAGTTTTACCAATGTGTTGTATATTAAATTCCATGAATGAAATATATTGACTTGAGCTTTAAAAGCCCAGACCGGAAACCCATCTAATCTATTAAAATAAGAATATCACGGACGAGGAAATATCCGGATCAACACTTATTAATACTAAGAAATAAATCATACAAGAAATCAGCAGATACATATATTATTAAAAATCTACAATTTAACATTTGATAGTACTACAAAATTAATCAACATTAGTTCATAAAAAAAATTGGCCCATCCGGATATTCTACCGATTTCAGATATTTTTTAGAGTGGCCATGAAAGAGGGAAAACAAAACCAGCAAGATACGCATACGGCGATCCGAAATACTAACCCTACCTTCTGTAAACGATCATATATATGAAGGTGAAAGTGAAGAGTGAGTTTGAAAGAAGTTTTCCGTTGTCACTGGAAGTGAGGGGGTGGGTTGTTAGTTGTTGTGTTATAAAGGTGAAGTAGAAATTCAAATTTTTTTTTTTTTTGGGGGGGGGGGGGCAAATTTGGAGAAAGGGATGGGGAAATGTCAGTTTACCTTTTTGTCACTTTTCAAAACAGTATGTGAAACATGTGCTACCTAGAGGTGAACGCATAATAAAATTATACTGTATACAGTTAGAACCCGAGCTTGTTGTCTCTACGAAAATGGAAAAAATACAACCTTCAACCCTACTCCTGACATTTACATGTATCTTGCATAATGTTGCTCTTTTACTGGACCCAAGACCGTATTTCTTACACACAAACAATATGATACTTTTCTATGATAATGGTGTTTGTTATTTTTACAACCTGATCTCATACTGAATTTGATCAAAAGCTTAATGATTGTAAATTTTCCTATTTGACTGTGTAAAAAAAAGTACATGTATAAAGTATTTCATATGTAACGATACGCATTGTGTAGCCTAAAGCATAATCACAAAACAAAGATAACTGACATATATTCTTTATAACATGTACCGTCTTACTAAACCACAACGTTTATCATCAGTATAAAATAAATATGCGGGGGTAATATCGTTTATGACGTCATAATGACTGATGACGTTGTACGCAGGTTTTATGTGTGTGTGCTTGGTTTACTCTGGATAAATAGAAAAGGGCCAGAAATCGGCATTATGTCATAGAAATCGTGTGCATGTGCGATTTTCCAATTATGCAATTGAATTGACTTGCTAAGTCTATGGGATCTCCTGATAGATTTTGACTGGTTGTATTTACGTGTACGTGTTACCTATGAAGCTCATTTCTTGAGCCCTCTCTCACTCAGGAGCGTTCGCTATTAAACAAATTGTTTATAATTATGAAAATAACTAGTATTGTTTAAATTTTAAAACTATTTGCATTGTAGTAGATCCTTTACAAGAACATTGTAACAAGTGTCAAAAAAAAGGACACTGACCGCCATGACCCACTTTCGAGGAACCAAGTCATAAAATTATATTTGGCTTGTACCATGTTTTAGAGGGCTATCTGAGTGGCTCACATCAATTGACCTACTTTCAGGGTCATAGGACTAAAAGGTGACTTTTAAATCGTTTGAACTTCTTCTCTATATTAAACCTTTTAAAATGCCTAGCTATGTCCATATTTGGCATGTTAAAAAATGTGTGTTCAAATAAATGGCCTTGACCCACATTCAAAGTCATAGAGGTCAAATGTATTAACTCTTTAATAGCTCCTGTACAAAGTAAAGGACCTGGGTGATAATATTCAGCCTGTATCATGCTGGGATGAAAGCTCAGGCTATCAAGTTTGTTCAAATGAATGACATGATCCACTTTCAAGAGTACATGGTGATATTTGTCAAGCATTTAAGTTTTAAGAAACTTCTAAATAATATTGATCTTATATGAGTAACTAATGAAGAGGTGTGCAGTTGTTTAAAATGAATTCTTTCCCAGAACCTTTACTAACATGCATTGTTCTTCTGATCTCTTTTCCATGTGCTGCCATCTGTACACCATTCTGGATCTGGTTATCATTACTATGGCTAGGGTAAGTATTATATGTACTCGTGTAGAAGTACTCATCCAAGAACCTAGTCTACAGAATATCACTTGGTTATTAGTGTATAATTACAACTTAGAATGCAGTTCACGAGAATAACTCATTTTATTCATCAGTATACATGTACATGTAACTTGGTTTTATAGATGAGTTTATTATTATGACTTGGTTTACAGTTCATAAGTATAATTTGGTTTACAGTTCTTAAGTATAACTTGGTTTACAGTTCTTTAGTATAACTTGATTTACAGTTCATTAGTATAACTTGATTTACAGATCATCACTGCAACTTGGTTTACAGTTCATCACTGCAACTTGGTTTACAGTTCATTAGTATAACTTGGTTAACAGTTCTTTAGTATACCGGTAACCTGATTTACAGTTCATCACTGCAACTTGGTTTACAGTTCATTAGTATAACTTGGTTTACAGTTCTTTAGTATAACTTGATTTACAGTTCATTAGTATAACTTGATTTACAGTTCTTTAGTATAACCTGATTTACAGTTCATCACTGCAATTTGGTTTACAGTTCATTAGTATAACTTGGTTTACAGTTCATTAGTATAACTTGGTTTACATTTCTTTAGTATAACTTGATTTACAGTTCATTAGTATAACTTGATTTACAGTTCATCACTGCAACTCGGTTTACAGTTCATCACTGCAACTTGGTTTTCAGTTCATTAGTATAACTTGGTTTACAGTTCTTTAGTATAACCTGATTTACAGTTCATCACTGCAACTTGGTTTACAGTTCATAAGGATAACTTGGTTTACAGTTCATTATTATAACTTGGTTTACAGTTCATAAGGATAACTTGGTTTACAGTTCATAACTTTAATTTGGTTTATAGGTTATCGGTACGTCTTCTTTTACAGATTATTACTTTTTTACAGTTGGACCGCAGTGGCAACATGGCGGTGGGTTGCCAATGATGATAATTGTGGAATATGTCGCATGGCATTCGACGGCTGTTGTCCAGACTGTAAACTGCCAGGAGATGATTGTCCACTCGGTAAGTCTCATCACTTGCCAATTTTCTGTGTTAGGCAAGTTTTCAGTATCATCTTAAATATTAAACAGGGATAATAAAAACAGTAAGTACAAAAGATAATAAGTACAATGGTTGAGATTTCTATATTCGTAGTTATAACCAGTGAATACTGATACATTCTCTTTGTCTTTTTAATCTAAATCAAAGGGCTTTGTGTGTTTATCAATGTAATCTAAATATATTGTTAATGTCTTTCCAGTCCCAGAAGAATTATTCTACAGGTGAAAACAAAAACAGATTTATATTTATTTTTTATGGCCAGAGACAAATGACTTGGTAAAATAATAAGTCTGCTATTTGTGTAGGTATATCTTTCTGAGATGAGTGTCTTGGATGATTCCTATCTTTTGTGTGTTTACAGTCTGGGGGGAGTGCTCTCACTGTTTCCACATCCACTGCATTGTTAAGTGGCTCAACTCCCAGCAGGTGAACCAGCTGTGTCCGATGTGTCGACAGGACTGGAAATTCAAAGAGTGACAGAAACACCTCTTCAGCCTTGGTCTGACCAAGCCGTGGTTCCAGTGACCCCACGGTTGTTACACCATCATGATCATTTATTAGACTCGAAGAGTTTCACCCAAGTACGTTTGGTTTTATACATGGCGTTTTCATCTACCGTTTGAAGGTCAAACTAATGTATGATTCATTGAAAGTGGAGATGTCTTCAGTTGTAAACATTCTACTCCATCTCTCAAAGAAGGGGATCATACTTGATCAGTCTTTTTAATTTATGTGTTCCAAACAGTAGAACAGTGTGAATTAAGGGGAAGTGGTTCCATTTGGCTAAGTACTCGTGCACGAAGAGCAAGTACACAGAACACACAGAAATGTTGCTCGAACACCTGGTTGGAAATTATAGTGTCCGTTATATTTTTTTCCAATCAGGTATGCCTAAGGACTGAGTAGGACTAGTGTATAGAAGCTAAGACAAAGTCTTGACCAGAAGTTGATGTTGATAGGAGTGACTCGGAGTCAAGAAATATCTGTGTGGCCTTGGGTTGCTTGTGTCCACCGCATATACCACTGACAGTATGTGTTCAATGTAATTTGTAGGCTTATTTAAAGATAACAAATAACATAAAGACCACCATTAGGTATACATGTATTTAATTGTGATACAATACAATAATCAATCAAACACTATTACCTATGACTTTGTCCTTTGTTCCATTCACACTTAAAATTATTTTTATCCATTCATTTACTTTTGTAATGCATAAACAATATTATCTTTGCTTATATTTAATGAAAACAAGTGAATTCTTAATCTCTTTATTACTCGGCTCAGAGATTAGAAAAACCTGTTGTTTAAAGAATTGAAATAACACTCTAAATCATTTTCATCATACGATTACTGGTACTTCATAAATCTATGCAGTGAATTGAAATTGAAAGTATTCCCATTTAAATGAACCTGATCCGCATAGCCTTATATGTCATTTGTCTACCTATTGACTAACATGCCCAAACAGTTTTGGTAAATCAGTAAATATATTTCATAGCACTACCTTATGTTGACAGGAAATTTTAGTAAAGGCTAGAATTGGCCTTTTACGTGTACAGTCCAGGAAATCACCGCTGATATTTAGAAATATACCAATAGATTAAAGACAGAAACTGCATAAACCAGAATACCTTGTACCTGGTACGTCAAAGTGATTTTGAGCCATATCTATTGTGTAATCAAATCAAATCACTCTGACATTTAAGTTGGCATCCACTTTGTGGTAAAAGGTAAACAAATACTCAGTGTAAGAAAACGAAAACATTTGTGCCTGAAAAAGCGTAGGAGAAATTCTCCAGGTATAATTTGTTCTGGACTGAGGTCCAAAATATAAGTTGCAGTGACATATATTTTTGGTACGCAATACTCTGTCTCCCCAACATGCATATGTACCCATGTACTAAGTTTGATGAACCTACAAAAAATAGAAGTGAAATGTTTCTTCTTTGAGGTCAGATGTCAAATAAAAGTCACTGTGACCTAGATTTTGTTTGTGACACTCTGCCTTCCCTAGATGTATCCATATACTAAGTTTAATGATAAATGCTAGAGAAACTGAAGCGAACACAAGCAGGGATTTTTGCTTTGTCACCTATGAACTGCTATTAAGCTGTGTGCAGTTGTTGAAATGAAAAATATTAAGAGAGAATTTGCTTTTAACTTTTCTTTTATTAATTTTTGCCTTTGTCAAGAGTTGTCCCCACTGGAGGAGGTAGGCCGTACAGGAGATAGAGCAGCATCAGCCTTCTCACTCAGTAGCTGGCAGGAGTATAACAGACCTGAAAATACCAAAATAATTACTGCTGTTAAAATAATCTTTAAAAGGGATAGCAATCAAGTTTAAAGTTTCAAACTTTCAAGAATGAAACTCAACTGTATGATTTACAAATTTATAACTTCAGAGAAAACTCAAAACATTATATATATGTGTCTATCAACGTAAGTATTTTAAAAACATTATATATATGTGTCTATCAACGTAAGTATTTTAAAAACATTTTTTGAAAACATTTTTGAGTCTGATGCTGAGGATCATACATATCCTGTATTGGAAAATAAACTAATCTAATAGAAACCGATTAAAACTGATTAGATACTCATGCTTATTACTGCATTTAAAGCTAATAATTAGATGTTCATTTACATTTAACTACTGTTTACAAGACTAATAGGACGGACTACTATTTCATTGCATTAAAGATATGTGGATTCCACTCTTAATGTGTAGTCAAATTCACCTTGCAATTGCTCATCTGCGTCGGCTAAGTTTGTTTGGTCAAACTTTCTTGAGGAAAATGTCCAGAAGTTGTCTGGGAGCCATTCTTCTACCTTGCTGAGTTTAGTGTCTCCACTGTTACTGGACCGCACTGTAACAAATAACGAGGGATATAATATGAGTGACGAGAAACAAGAGATTTAATCTACAAGCTTGGTGAATAAATATCAATTTTCACAAAGGGATAATATATCATTTATCTTCTAGCCCTTGTATGAAAGACAAGCTAGCTTTCTCTGTACCAGAAGCATGATTCGACATTTGCAATCTGGAGTATAAGCTTGTAAACTTTTGTGCAAAATTTTGATAATATTTATAGTACAGTGATAGCCGTTTAATAGCATGTTTCATATTATCTCTGATTTCAAAAATTATAATAGTAAATTATATTTACTTTCTAAGGCTTCTTCAATATCTTTGCACATTTCAAACACTTCACTTCCTCGACCATGTAAACGTTCTCCTGTAACAGAAAATGTGTCTGTTAAATACACCGTAGAACAAAGAACAGCTCTAAAGCATTTTACATGTATGTAAGAGAGTGTAAAGTCAGACTAAAGTGTCTTGATCAATCCATGTCAAAGAATAATAATGAAGTATTGCAAAGCAAAACAAAGGTGATTTTTTTTCATTCAAAAATAGTGTCATGATGTGATAGGATTCTTGAAATTGAAGTTCCAGAAGCTATGTTCCCATCTAGAATTATAATCACATGACCCCTAGCTTTCATTTTGACCATTTTAACATGGTTCAGATATTGTGATCCAGATATGTTGACGGTGACCTTGACCGTCAAGGTATAACCTCTAGTTATAATACATGTACATTTATATGGCACTGACGGTAGACTGATGATACAACGCCAACCTTATGACCGAAGTGTTGGGGTTTGAGTCATGTAACAGCACTGTGTTGTATCTTCCAACAAGATACTTAACTCAGCTTGTTCCAGTCTACTCAGCTGTAAATGAGTATGTGGTTGGACAGTGCTAGAATTGTTGAATACTAGCTGTATGCTCCCAAGGGAGTTGAGAAAGATATTGGCTGGTTGCAAAAGGCCCTATAACCACGGATAATAATTTGTGAACCGGTTTTAGACGACCTACGAACTAGGTTGTGATAAAGCGGTAACCTCAAATTATTATATATAAAGTTTCATCAATGACTTCATTTAGTTGTTGCCTGGACAAGCATTAAAATACAATGACTTTACCTGGCCCAGATACCCAGGTGACTTTACCAGGCCCAGATACCCAGGTAGACAAAATTGACTTGGAAAAATGATTTTAAATTTTGACTTATTGCTTTGACCTTGACCCTAGAGTACAGATATCAGCAAGGTATCCTGCGTCCTCCCTAGTCATACACATACATTTATGAAGTTTCATAAAAGCCCATTGAAAGCTTTTGCTTAGAATAGAAACACAACCATTTAATGTTTAAGACGATGCTTCGACCTTAGTACATTATTGTAGCATACTGTGTCATGATAATAGGTCACTTTAGTAAAGTCTATCAATTGGATGTGTGATATAAGAACACACAGATAACATGATTAGGATGCACAATCAGATGTCCTACAGCAATATCTTTGACAAGTCACTGCAGGCAATCTGTTGTGCTCAATAACACAATTTTTTTTGAAAATGGTAGTTATTTTGACTATAATTGTATACCAGTCTGCATTTCTTATACCATCACGTATATTTATATATTTATCCAGTAACAATTCCACTCTTGGCACCTAATTCAAAATCTCAAGGGAAAAAGTAGAGGGGGTCGTCTAGGCAAGTCATAGCATAGAACTCTCAGTTGTTTGCTGAAGACCATCTACATACTTTTGGACGAGACAATGCAGACAGCCCAACACATAAGGAAGACTAGTGGTAGCCTTATATTCCAAGAGAAATGAAGACTAAATAACCAAGTTGGAAAATGAAGAGAAAGTATATATAATTATATTGACCACTTACCATCAATGGTCCGCAGCCTTGGAAACATTTTTGCTATATCTTTTTTGTATCCCTGATTAATACAGAAGGGATTGGACAGTGTTTTATCATTAACTGTAAGACTTTCTAGTTTATCTAGGCCTGTTAAACACCTCAAGTTTTCAACACTGAAACAGAAAATATAATAACATTTTACAATCAAGTAGTACCGGTAGTCAAGTTTCTATTCATCCAGAAGTTAACAATACTTTTACAAGTCAGAAACAGCTACAGTCCAACTGACAGTTCTCAATAAATATAATCTACACATTGTAACTTGATAGGTGAGTTTTGTATACATGTATATATATATATATATTGTAACTCAATATAGTTCAATTATAATGACCATTTCCAATATTATATTTTTAGCTCACCTCTTTTTGGTTTGAGATTTTGACAGTTTTGGATTGTTATTTTATGTGGTGAATTTTGACAATACCGGTAAGTGCCATATTATCAACAAGCTCGTTACTCTGATCATGTGAAGCTTAAAATACTAGAAATGGTATTATGAGACAACAAATTGTAAAATTCATGAAATTTTCAGGCAAACGAAAGGTACTTTAAAATTTACCTGCTCCATTCTGACAATTATTAGTTTACACCATTAACCATTATATCAGGGAAGTGTTCTAAACAAAATCATACTCACCCACCAATAAGATTTCCGGCCAAGTTTAACGACTGTAAATTATCAAGAGCCTGTAATCCTTCTGTGCAGGGAAAGAAAGAGCAACTGTCAGTAATTTATACCATTGTTCACAGAAGTAAAAGTACTATTCAATTATTCATATATATTTTCATCTATTGACCTTTAGTTTTAAAATTAAAATAAGATTAACATGTGTGTTGATTTTGATAATGTCATTAATTTAAATACAATTTTAATTCGGCACAAAAATAGAACATATTTTCTGTATAGACTTGAAACTCACCCAGGGACATGATTCTGTTTGCAGAAAGGTTTAGAATAGCCAAGTTTGTAAGTCCTGCTAATTTGGTAAGCTTTGTGATTTCATTTCTGGACAGGTTGGCTCTCTCCAATCCAGTGCACTCCCCTATACATCCAAGATCAGAAATACCTGTACAATTGGAGAATCAGAAACACTTGTAAAAGTGATGCATGAAATTGAAGTAGAAATGATCATGTTTGTGACTTGAAGTTAAGTCTATACACATGTACAGCATGGTAAATCCAACTTTAGCACACACCAGACACTGTGGTGTAATGATTCACCGAGGGAACGTACATATATCTATCAAACCTGATAGCAGAACAAATAATATATAACTGCAGTGTGATGACAACATAAACACAATATGTCACTGATACGTGGGTTGATATACCAAAGTGTGATGACAACTCAAACGCATGATGTCACTGATACGTGGGTATATATACCAAAGTGTAATGACAACATAAACACAATATGTCACTGATACATGTGTTGAAATACCAAAGTGTGATGAAAACAAAAACAAAATATGTCACCGATACATGTGTTTAAACACCAAAGTGTGATGACAACACAAACACAATATGTCACTGATACATGTGTTGATATACCAAAGTGTGATGACAACAAAAACAAAATATGTCACCGATACATGTGTTTAAATACCAAAGTGTGATGACAACACAAACACAATATGTCACCGATACATGTGTTGATATACCAAAGTGTGATGACAACAAAAACAAAATATGTCACCGATACATGTGTTGATATACCAAAGTGTGATGACAACAAAAACAAAATATGTCCCCGATACATGTGTTTAAATACCAAAGTGTGATGACAAAACAAACACAATATGTCACCGATACATGTGTTGATATACCAAAGTGTGATGACAACACAAACAAAATATGTCACCGATAATTGTGTTGATATACCAAAGTGTGATGACAACACAAACACAATATGTAACTGATACATGTGTTGATATACAAAAGTGTAATGACAACACAAACACAATATGTCACTGGAACATGTGTTGATATACCAAAGTGTGATGACAACATAAACATAATATGTCACTGATACATGTGTTGATATACCAAAGTGTAATGACAACACAAACACAATATGTCACCGATAATTGTGTTGATATACCAAAGTGTGATGACCGCGCAAACACAACATATGAGTACTGTATGTGTAATATACCAAAGTGGGATGACAACACAAACACAATATGTCACCGATAATTGTGTTGATATACCAAAGTGTGATGACCGCACAAACACAACATATGAGTACTGTGGGTTGATATACCAAAGTGTGATGACCGCACAAACACAACATATGAGTACTGTGGGTTGATATACCAAAGTGTGATGACAACACAAACACAATATGTCTCCGATACATGTGTTGATATGCCAAAGTTTGATGACAACATAAACACAATATGTCACTGGTACATGTGGTGATATACCAAAGTGTGATGACAACACACACACAATATGTCACTGATACATGTGTTGATATACAAAAGTGTAATGACAACACAAACACAATATGTCACTGATACATGTGTTGTTATACCAAAGTGTGATGACAACACACACACAATATGTCACTGATACATGTGTTGTTATACCAAAGTGTGATGACAACACAAACAAAATATGTCACCGATAATTGTGTTGATATACCAAAGTGTGATGACAACACAACCACAATATGTCACTGGTACATTTGTTGATATTCCAAAGTGTGATGACAACACAAACACAATATGTAACTGATACATGTGTTGATATACAAAAGTGTAATGACAACACAAACACAATATGTCACTGATACGTGGGTTGATATACCAAAGTGTGATGACAACAGAAACACAATATGTCACTGATACGTGGGTATATATACCAAAGTGTGATGACAACACAAACAAAATATGTAACCGATAATTGTGTTGATATACCAAAGTGTGATGACCGCGCAAACACAACATATGAGTACTGTATGTGTAATATACCAAAGTGGGATGACAACACAAACACAATATGTCACCGATTCATGTGTTGATATGCCAAAGTGTGATGACAACATAAACACAATATGTCACTGGTACATGTGTTGATATACCAAAGTGTGATGACAACAGAAACACAATATGTCACTGATACGTGGGTTGATATACCAAAGTGTGATGACAACAGAAACACAATATGTCACTGATACGTGGGTTGATATACCAAAGTGGGATGACAACACAAACACAATATGTCACTGATACATGTTTTTAATTACCAAAGAAGTGTGATGACAACACAAACACAATATGTCTCCGATACATGTGTTGATATGCCAAAGTTTGATGACAACATAAACACAATATGTCACCGATACATGTGTTGATATACCAAAGTTTGATGGCAACATAAACACAATATGTCACTGATACTTGGGTTCAAACACAATATGTCACTGATACGTGGGTTCAAACACAATATGTCACTGATACGTGGGTTGATATACCAAAGTGTGATGACCGCCCAAACACAACATATGAGTACTGTATGTGTAATATACCAAAGTGGGATGACAACACAAACACAATATGTTACTGATACATGTGTTGATATACCAAAGTATGATGACAACACAAACAAAATATGTCACCGATAATTGTGTTGATATACCAAAGTGTGATGACCGCACAAACACAACATATGAGTACTGTGGGTTGATATACCAAAGTGTGATGACCGCCCAAACACAACATATGAGTACTGTATGTGTAATATACCAAAGTGGGATGACAACACAAACACAATATGTTACTGATACATGTGTTGATATACCAAAGTGTGATTACAACATAAACACAATATGTCACCGATACATGCATGGGTTGATATACCAAAGTGTGATGACAACACACACACAATATGTCACTGGTACATGTGTTGATATACCAAAGTGGGATGACAACACAAACACAATATGTTACTGATACATGTGTTGATATACCAAAGTGTAATGACAACACAAACACAATATGTCACTGATACATGTTTTTAATTACCAAAGAAGTGTGATGACAACACAACCACAATATGTCACTGGTACATTTGTTGATATACCAAAGTGTGATGACAACATAAACACAATATGTCACCGATACATGCATGTGTTGATATACCAAAGTGTGATGACCGCACAAACACAACATATGAGTACTGTATGTGTAGCTGTACAAGTCCACAAGTATTGTTATGTTTGAAGTACTTATCTGATTAAATCTGATAGGGAAACATGTTCACCAATGGATGGATATTTATTTTTATATATTTATTTATGGAAGCCATTTAGGAAATTGGGGTATAGTCCTTCCATTATGCTTTGGTAGTTATTGGTAGTTTGGGGCCACTGGCACTGGTCTACCACTTATACGTATGCCTGAGAAATAACATTATTTTTATGAGTTTCATGAAGTACAAAAAATCATGATTGCACAAAAAAATGCTTAAATTTCTCCAAAATTGTGAAAACAACAATTGACAATGCAATATAATAATAATGATTGTGTAACGCACCAAGGTTTTATGCGTTGAAGTTGAACAGGACAGTGAGGATTTGTAAATAGGCACTGTATATGAACATGTCCATTGTTTTACCTAGTTCTCTTAGATTAATGGAATGTATGCTCTCCAGTTCAAATTCCCCACTTCTGGTCTTCAGCAGGGCCTTGGTTATTTTGCCTTCTGGAAAAATAAATAACCAATCATTATAAATTGGCTTAGAATGCAGAACTCTATAGGAATACATTTTACATATGAGTGCATATTAACAACATACAAACCTTCCATTATGTTGGTTATTCGCTACCTTACAATATCATTGTCAGATCTATACAAGTGGCTGTCATTTTGGTTGCGACTGTAAACAAAAGTGATATACTGGTAATTATTTTATAAAAAAATAATATATTATGCAAATAGTTCCTAAATATATGTAGAGTTTGTCAGTCAAGATAGTTGAAAAGTATCCTAAACAATTTGTAGTAAAAATATAATACAAGTTATTTTTTCGGGAATAATACTTGAGAAATATAAAAGTAAAGATTATCACAGAACACTATTTCCTGTTAACATCCGGGTAACCAACTTGGCGGCTACTTTCAATATGGCCACCTTGTCACATCACTCTAAAACTTGCAGCGTTTAAGCATGGATTGGTATCGTTGTCACGATTTGAATGTACAATACAACACAGTTGTATACGGTAGGAATCCCAAGATTGCATCATTTCAGACATTTAAGTAGAATGTGTCGTCCGTTTTCTTGCATATTAATCGCCGACATCATTGAAACTTCGGAGTTCAAGTTCGTTCCTGTTTTCAGCAAGAGCTCCCGTTAGGCTAGCCGGTATAGTGGCCGACAAAACTACCATAAACTGTATCATATTTACGTAACATGTATTCCCCCCCTGTAGTGTGATTTGAAATTGTTTTAGAGTTTTGCTACTGTGATAATGCTGATTGTTTATGAATGAATAGTAATTTTGAGGGAGGGGGCTCTGGTTCAACTTTCATTAGTGTACCAGTACGATTGAGTCTACACGGCTGGCCGGTATTCTTCTGAAAAATGAATATGTGAAGGACGTTTTTAAAACCTTTATCATATTTCAGAGAAATCTCTATTCTACTGAAATATCGTTTCATAAAAGTAATATAATGCACATATATTAAGATTCATCCAAATTAAAATAACTATCTCTTTAAAAAAAGCTTTTCCGAGCAATTTTGATGGGGCGGAGATAGTTGGAACGTCCTCAAGAGTGTCTCATAACTCACTGAGTTTAGTGCACACTTCACAACATGTTTCCTTGTTTACCAGAGCATGTCCACAAACTTTCCATACACGGATCGATGGAACCATGTATCTCTGCCAATGCATCAATCAAACCATTTCAAACATAGGAAGATTTAATTTTTTCAACCAATTTTGCAAGTTGATTGGTTTGCATTGTTACTGGATTTGATTTCGCCCTGATGAAAAAAAGAGTTGCATTTTGTTATGTAGTAGGACAAGAAATAGTGATAAAGATAGTGCCGTCGCTGGGGTTCGAACCCGCGACCCTTGGCTCTCCAGCCCGATGCTCTACCACTGAGCTAAAGGGAAATTCCCTATAGCTGATGCTTATAAGGCAACCTAATCATTGCACATCTTTTATACTATTCCCCCCTTTTTTCTAACACCAACCAAGGTTCTTTGACCCCCCCGCCAAGGGTTCTCCTACCTTGAATGGAGAGGGTCAACAGCACCAATTTTGTAACAGGAGAGTGTTGGGCCCAGTTTGTCAGTACGTCAAACTGCACTTGACTCGCCCTGCAGACCAACCCAGGTTTGATGGGTAATTTGTAACTGTTGTAGAGTGAAAACAAACGCCTTGAAATACAATTAACAATTTATTATTAACAACATAGAATGATGGATATAAAATTTACAACATAACTAACACTAGCCTAGGCCTATCTAACAGTGCGAATATATGTAAAGACTGACCCCCGTATTGCCTATGACCTAACTTTAATTTGAAACTGACGTTAATTAACCCTGACATCCCGACTAAGTCCCTATCTAGAAATCCTAAACTAACCATACGGACAATGCATGACAAAAACATCGACCTCAGACAGGACACGTGAACAGAGAACAACAACAAATTAAAGGTCAGGGTGACACAGGTACACTTAGTACAGACACAACATACAGACATGCCATAGAATTAAGCTTACAACCCTGTGCTTACACTGTTAGCTTAATACTGTCGACGAACACATATATTTAACACACCCCGCTACAGTTAATTGTACACTTGCATTGTATGCAACATACATGTAATGTAGCGACTCCTATATAACAGATATTCATTGTGCATTGAACATTGTTTTACAGCACTCCTATAGCAATTTGATACCTGCAGATTTAGTAAAACTAGAAATATATTTCGACACAAAGAAAGACTTGTTACTACAGTAGCACTCAGGAATTTCATTAGTGGTTGCATTGGTTGCTTGAATGAAATGGGCGAAGGGAGGCGATCCCCGATGGTAGTTGATTTTTATGGGAATCCCTATATACTAGTACTATTGAAAATGGTTTTAATGGACATGACATTTGTATATTGAAGATTCCATCTTTGATTTCCCTTTTCCTCACATTATAGAAATAATTTAACAGGGCTTTCATCAGTAGACCCTAGATCAATGTTACAATATAAATTAATAGAGACAAGATTTTCTGAAAAGTCTTTTACTAGTATACTAGAAAATTAAGAAGGAAAAGACCAGTCCCTAAGATCTTGTCCAGTATTATAAATATCAGATTTTAGGACAGAATGAATTCAAGCATTATTGGCTAATGGCTACTACATGCAATCATTTTTTATGTATTTTTGAGATAAATAAAAAAAGTATATTCATTATATATGCATTGCTCTAGATCTATTTGCTCTTCTTTACTGTGTAATTAATAATTTCTATGATTTTTTTCCCCATTTAGATGGATAGAAAATGAGTTTTTAAAGCTTTATTTTCAACATATATCCATACACTGGACATCTGAAATTATCGAAATGGGTGACACACTGGAAGTGAAGCAGATGTTGTTCACCAACCTGCAGTTGTTGGGGTTTGATGCTGGAGCCATGGAAGCTTCGTACTGTGTACCATTTAATAAGTATGTCAGATCCAGAACTGTATTGTTATGGTTTGTCAGCTAACTATCACCCATCTTGTATTTATGCTTTCATTGTTAAGGAACACAGCAACAAAGTCCAGACACAAGTTACATTGTACCTTAGTCAGAAATAAACAACAATAGTAAAGTTTGAGCTAGAAAAGTTTGAGCTGAAATGAATACATGTACACAAATGTTTCTAGGATTATAATAACATAAATTCATTAGTTACTATATATTAACCATTAGTGCTACCAAATATTTAGGGACTTAATCGTATAATCTTTACTTGATTTTGGCTAGATCAGTATATAAAACAAAGAATGCTTATCATGTTCCTGCACACGCTGCAGGTTAATTCTATATAATTAGTATTTTAATATTTTTGGTTCTGTTGATATTGATCATTAAACATTATTTATATTTTGTATGAGGCTGAGAGTTAACTCTTGCATTTTTCAGAAACATGTTCAATCTTCCAAACAAGAAAGGAGCTGAAGTGGTGCTTTTTTTCCTTTTCAACAAACTAAATCCAATAATGTGCCGAGAGGAGTTCAGGTATGGATAGTGATTTCTCCCACCATTCACAGGTGTGTCTCCCGTTTTAGCGATATGCATACCCCACATGTGTTTTTATCTACAAATATGGCAGACTACTGTCGGTGGAGCTGTGACTGAAATAATAGGATGGGAGCAAAATAATCATCCCCTACCTTGAGGGTGTAACAGAGAAATCTCCAATCCTCGGGGTGACAACCAAAAAACATCACCCCTCCGGTTTGAGATTTCTCTGTCACACCCTCAAGGTAGGGGAAGATTCTATTAGTCTTATTGATTATGATAGAAAATCAGATGAAAAGTCCATTCACTTGTAGAGTGATAATGATAGAAAATCAGATGAAAAGTCCACTCACTTGTTGATTGATAATGATAGAAAATCAGATGAAAAGTCCACTCACTTGTAGATTGATAATGATAGAAAATCAGATGAAAAGTCCACTCACTTGTTGATTGATTATGATACGTTACCATTAGTGGCTATTGATGCCGATAGTCCTAATTGATAGTCAAAAGCTCAAATAGCATGCAGAATTATTTATGATATAATGTGACATAGTGCAATATTTTAATTTCTAATTGGTGTCTGTGATGTATTTTGAAATGTATTAAAGTCACATAGGATCTGCCACACTCGTCATTTAAACGAAATGTTTTACAAAGCATTTAAATGGCTCATGATTACAATATTTATTGGTAAAATAACTGACCCATTTATTGATTGATAATTAAGTTAATGGGTGGTTTCTATTGATCCCAACTGAATCCAAACCTTAGGTATTGAGTTGTCCCACCCCCCTTTACACCACACATACCCAGGTAATCATCATTAGGTAATAGGTGGTATGTGTTAGACAAGGCATCTTTATTGACATCTGGCCTCAGGATTATGAAAAAGTTTAGACTCAAGTTTTGAATGTTGCTTATTTATTTATATTTTCTTAATGAAATACAATTTTACCTATACATTGTCTGTATGTGTTCTTGTTGTAAAATGGACTTTTTCACAAAATGTTGATTTCCACGATTTTTATCAACATTTGAAACATTTACTCAAGTTTATGACCGTTTCATGATCCTGGAGCCCCTTTCTCTAGTAATCACTTTTATATTCAATATCTTACTGCTGTACAGAATCTTTTCAAACCAATGATATTAACAGAAGCTGCTAGTCTGTTACCCTGGCCTTTAATATACTTGTGTTGATGTTGTAGAGACTGCTGGCCTGTACTTGATAAACAACAAGAACAACAGTTCCGCAGAACATGTCACAACTGGCTGGTAAACATTGCGAAGGTAATCAGGCATGAGTGGTACACGAACAAAAAGTTACATTGTAGTGAAACATTGTAAAGGTAATCAGGCATGAGTGGTACACGAACAAAAAGTTACATTGTAGTGAAACATTGTAAAGGTAATCAGGCATGAGTGGTACACGAACAAAAAGTTACATTGTAGTGAAACATTGTAAAGGTAATCAGGCATGAGTGGTACACGAACAAAAAGTTACATTGTAGTGAAACATTGTAAAGGTAATCAGGCATGAGTGGTACACGAACAAAAAGTTACATTGTAGTGAAACATTGTAAAGGTAATCAGGCATGAGTGGTACACGAACAAAAAGTTACATTGTAGTGAAACATTGTAAAGGTAATCAGGCATGAGTGGTACACGAACAAAAAGTTACATTGTAGTGAAACATTGTAAAGGTAATCAGGCATGAGTGGTACACGAACAAAAAGTTACATTGTAGTGAAACATTGTAAAGGTAATCAGGCATGAGTGGTACACGAACAAAAAGTTACATTGTAGTGAAACATTGTAAAGGTAATCAGGCATGAGTGGTACACGAACAAAAAGTTACATTGTAGTGAAACATTGTAAAGGTAATCAGGCATGAGTGGTACACGAACAAAAAGTTACATTGTAGTGAAACATTGTAAAGGTAATCAGGCATGAGTGGTACACGAACAAAAAGTTACATTGTAGTGAAACATTGTAAAGGTAATCAGGCATGAGTGGTACACGAACAAAAAGTTACATTGTAGTGAAACATTGTAAAGGTAATCAGGCATGAGTGGTACACGAACAAAAAGTTACATTGTAGTGAAACATTGTAAAGGTAATCAGGCATGAGTGGTACACGAACAAAAAGTTACATTGTAGTGAAACATTGCGAAGGTAATCAGGCATGAGTGGTACACGAACAAAAAGTTACAATGTAGTGAAAAATTATAAAAGTAATCCAGAATGCAGGGTTCAAACCAGTTTTTTAAAAAATTGGCACCAGAATTTTTGCCAAAATTTCAAATATTCTTGCACTAAATTATATATGAGCCATATCTTTAAAATCGCTGACAAGGTGTCGCAGTTCAAGCAATGAAGTTGTTAAACTTATCCTGTATTTGCGCATGTATAAAAACAAAAAAGGGCTGCATATTGATTCAAACATTACAAAGTTGAATAGAAATGCGTGTGATGTACTTAAGTAAAGACACCAAACACAACAGGCTAAAAAGACCAATATGTTTGAGAGGAATAGAAAGGTGTTCACTTTACAGAATTTATTTAAATATTATAAATTGGATTGGCTTATTCTTGATGGATTATGCTAGTCCAACATACCATGTTTGACGAGACAAGTATTTTTGCCATAACAAATATATAAAATTACTATTAAACAGAACTGTAATGAGGCTTGGTACTGACCAGTGGATGGGCTGTATGTGTTATAGCTCCCTGACCGATGTCCACCACTGGTCAAACCTCAAAAAATCTACAGTTGCAGATATGGGCCGTTTGTATTATATTGCATCGAGGAACCAAGCCGGACATATCACGGACATATTTTAAATTTGTTACACTACTGGAAATTGCTTCTTATATACAGTGTATGTTATACAAGAAAAGGAAAAATGTTTTTTTTTATGGATATTTCCTTTTGAGGCTTTACATCTTTGCAATGGTGTTGGTCATATGACAGTTGTTATTGTCCCTGTCACAACCTAAGCTGTTAATAGGAAGTTAAACAAAATAAAACCAACCTGATGACAGGATATGGTAATGGTGTCACACCCTCCAAGGCAATATCTTCAATATTTGGTGACCATTTGCTTTAAGATTTTGTAAAATGGAATGTATTTCATGTATGTTAAAATGGAGATGAAACTCGCCTTGGCCAAAGTGAGCTTATACCATAGTGTGCCTTCTTTTTGTCATGTGCCATCAATTGCAACTATTCCTTTAAAATGCTACTAGAACAGAAAAGCTAATGGAATGTTGACCGAGTTTGGTGGTAAGCATTGCTGACCCAGGGGAACTCAATGTTTTATAAAAAGAGTGTGTTGTCTAAAAATCTTACCGCTCGTTCACAGCATTTTACCTATGGTAATTTTGTCGGAAAATATATTCCTACTCTTTCAGAATTGCAAATGGTATTATTTCAGTCGGAACCAGATACTCACCTGCCAAGAATTGTTGCCTCTCATTTCATGTCTCCAGGAGGGGACAAGTTCTACAATCTACTATTCCACTTTTCTGGATATGTGTTGAGGACAGTGATACGAACAGAAAATGGTATGTCTGCAAACATGAAAGGATGTCGATCAAATGAATTAATCTACAGTGGTTTTTTTAGGTCACCTGAGACAAAGTCTCCGTCATGCGTCGTCCGTCTGTAAATAATTTACATTTTTCGACTTCTCCAAAACCCCTGAACCAATTTCAATAAAATTTTGTAGAAACCGTCCATGGCCAAAGGTCAACCAAATTTGTGAATAATATGGTCCCCAGCCCCCAGGGGCCTGAGGGTTGGGGCCAAAAAGGGTCAAATTGACAAAAATTTCAAAAATCTTCTTCTCAAGATCCAGATATGGTAGAATCAAAAAATTTCATAGATGGAAGGGTCTTAATTTAAGGTGCTTTACCAAAATTGTGAATTTCTTGACCCTGGGGTCTCACGTTTTCCCCTGGGAAGGGGGTAAAGTTTACTTTAGTTTATATAGGGAAATCACATTTTGGACCTACATTTGTTTAATTTCCATTGGAAGTAATTCAATTTAGGTTAGCATTATCAGTATTAGGTAGCAGTTTGATAGTATGCACATATCAGCCCTGACTGACCTCCCCAGGACTGATAAGAGGGGCCAAAAAGGGTCGAATTGACTGAAATTTCAAAAATCTTCTTCTCAAGACCCAGATATGGTAGAATCAAATACTCTTCATAGATGTAAGGGTCTTAAGGTGCTTTACCAAAATTGTGAATTTCATGACCCGGGGGTATCACGTTTCCCCCTTGGGAGGGGGCAAACTTTACTATAGTTTAATTGTGAATTATATGGTCCCCAGGGGTCTGAGGGTTGGGGCCAAAAAGGGTCAAATTGACTAAAATTTCAAAAATCTTCTTCTCAAGATCCAGATATGGTAGAATCAAATACTCTTCATAGAAGGAAGGGTCTTAAGGTGCTTTACCAAAATTCAGCTGATTGACAGAACCACTATTTGTACATAGTACATCTTTCACACTTCTTTTGCATGACATGAAGTTCAAGTTACTTTTGTTACAAAATGAGTTCTTTTTCATTTGGCAACATCGATAACATCAGTTTTTACATAAATCAGGTGACCGTTAAGGCCCATGGGCCTCTTGTTTTACCTTAATTTTACAACAACCCGTTCCTTTATAAATTCGGAAAAAATAGTGTTATTTTTTAGTATTGAAATTGGGAATACATATCTTATTTTTTGGTAATTTTGGGAAAATAAGGCACTTTTTAGCTAGGGGAAACAGCCTGTATTGGGCTGTAAAACTGAGCCCAAAAAAACCCACCTGATCTAACTCATCAACTAGAATTGACTGTTGTTTAAATTTAATTTAATTAAATCTTGATTAGTTCACATTTTACCTCTTGTGAATTTGATTTAGGTCATGATTCTTTAATTTAATATACAGGTGTCAAAGAATTTGAACAGCTTCGGTACCCACAATTAACCACTCAAACAGCCCCCCTAGGAGATGTGATGGCCAAGAATATTCAATGTGCTGTAGTACGACTTCGAAAGAAGTTTCTGGAAGAGTCTCAGACTACATTGGTGCTGAACAGGGAATGGAAGGACTATGCCAAGTAAGTACTTGTAGCTAGGTATGGCTTGGAAAACAAAATCTAAATAGTGTCTGTCAGATTTTTAGGTCACCTCAGACAAAGTCTCAAGTGACCTATTGCGATCGCCTTTTGTCTGTCGCCGTGCGTCCGTAAATTTTTCGACTTCTTCTCCAAAACCACTGATCCAACTTCAATGAAATTTTGCAGGAACCTTCCATGGACAAAGGTCAACAAAAATAGTTGCCGGTTTAGTCCAAAGCCCCCAGGGGCCTGAGGGGCGGGGCCAAAAAGGGTTGAATTGACTGAAATTTCAAAAATCTTCTTCTCAAGACTCAGATATGGTAGAATCAAATACTCTTCATAGATGTTAGGGTCTTCTTCTTTTTTTAATTTATATTTTTATTCAGTTTTTCAAAGCACATACACATGACAATATTTGGGAGACTATAACATACTTCACTGTACTCTCATCCTAAACATTCCATACACATTTCATGTTAACCATACTCATTTCATGTTAACCATACACATTTCATGTTAACCATACTCATTTCATATACCCACTTTTCTAAGTATTGGGTCTGAAGAAAATATTAATCTGAGTTACTGATCGTGTGTACTATCATGATCATAACAGAGCATGCTAATTTATG